CACCACCCTCCTCCCTTCCTCCCACCCCTTACAAAGAAGTCCCCCCAGCACAAACAGAAACTACTTTGACAAGAAAGACAAGGGTATGGTCTGGGTCACACTTTCCACGTTCTGTGTCTACGGAGAGCTGCCGTGCATTTTTGTGCGTTGTGTACGTGGAAAGTGTGGACGAGTATCCTCCACCTGGTCACATATGGTCCGTGCACAAAACTGTGGACATGAGCTGATTACAAACTGTTTTTCTCATCTCAGTGCATGGATTGCCCATCAGTCCGATTTCTCTGTCACAATTAATTTGTTTTTGCATTTCTTTCTCAGAACAGTTTTTGTTCACCAGATATATTAACCCACTCATTATCAAAGTCAAAGGATCTTTTCATGTAGCTCACATATTTGATGGAGGCATCAAGATAACCAAAAGGACTTGAGAATACACAGAAGAAAAGGTTCTTACACACGTGTGTTCGTGCGTTCCCCACTCTGGCATGCATACACACACACAGAGCAACACTTAAACAATCAAGAGTTTGCTCATCGCAGCCCAAGGTTGGTCAACTTATTCTGACAGCCTCTCTATTCATTACAAAGTCTTAGCCTTCAAAGAACAAAGTGGTGGTGAGAGAGTGTGAGTGAGCGAGTGTACATCTAACATTCTTTGCTTCGTATACATCAGAGTTGGCTATATCTCCGATCAATTCAAAGGCTGCCGTGAATTCATTTATCTTGACTCTAAACGAAAGAAAATCTCATATGTGATGGTTGAACCAAAGCAGTGTGTCATACAACTGAGGGACGTCATTCAGACGTCCCTCCCTCAGTCTGCTCCATTTGAGTCTAACCTACTGAAGACACTGACACATGAAGACAGGGATACAGATGAATCAGTGTTCTACTTTTGCATCCGTCTCTGACCTCCACTGACACAAGGATGTGAGTTTCAAATCTCAAGGTCATAAACACTGTCCTGTTCTGTGTGTCCATCTGAAAATGTCTCATCTGTAATCAGTGATTATTTATAACAGTTTTATTCACCCATCATTGAGTTTGTATCTTTTCATTTGTCATTCCCCTTCGTTAATTATTCTGCTTTCCCCTGAATGAGGTCATAACTGGAAGCGGCCTACTTAATGTGTGTCTGTGTGTGTGTCTTGGTGAGCTGGTTTATGCTGGAGCAAGTGTGAGCGCGTGTGTGCTGCCATCCCTATAGTCACCATGGTTACAGGAGATGCCCTGCGGCACCCCAGGGGCCCAACTGTCACCTCCGTACAGTAATTAGTGCTTATGAACACATGCATGTGGTACATATGTGCTCATAAACATGCTAGGATAAAAGCACAAAGATGCACATATATGGAGATATATGTTTATGTATATATTAAATCTAAGTGCTTTTATCTTAGCATATATATCTATATCTATATATATATATATATATGTATATATGTATGTATATATGTATGTATGTATATATAGTACCACACCCTGCCTCTGGTGTATTTTCTCTCCTCCCCTCTATTCTAACAGCAGTACACCTTCACCCTGACTGACAACTGTTGTTTATCCCACACCTCTATATTTCCACATGTCAAACTTTGTGCCGTCTGCCCTCTTCTCCCCTGTCGCGACAGTTCTGCTAACCTTTAGCTGTCAGGCTTCACTGAGCACCTAAGCTATGTGGCTCCCTGAGAATGGCTTGCGAATGAGAATGGTCTAGACATCACACACACACACACACACACCCTCGATTTAACCCCCCCCACACACACACACGCTCACTCACACAGATGTTACCAGTGAAACATGTGAGTCATTGCTTTAGACATGCTGCCAATGTAGGCAGTGAAATACGTGATACTTTGACATTGACATTAAACAACGGAGCCAGACC